CTCCAATAAGGTATATGAGTATAAACTGTTCCCTAATTTTTGTTGAGAAGTTTCTGGAGAGTATTTTTCCAAAAATATTCTTAAGGATAACTCAACAACACTACGCCGGACAACGCGTTGCACATAAAAACTCGACGCCAGCAATCGATGGTCAATTCTACGAGCTGAAGATCAAAAATCAGGAATCGACTTCAAAGTTCAAAATTCCGACAAACGGTCAGACAATAAATGCAGCACCGTAACTCTTACAGACTTTCGACAAAGCACCGAATAGCCTGAAGGATTAAAGGAATCAAGAACAGAAGCCATTCCAAGGTCCCGTTACACCGACTGAAGGTTGGGACAATCATATCCAAAGTATTCCAGACTCTTCTATAAAAGAACGAGACTGAAATACTTTGGAGGGGGTATCTGTAGGCATATAAAATTGCTTATAGGTCCCTTAGCACAGCTCGGCACAAACCGACGAACCATCGGGTGACGTATCTAAACACGAGCGTCAGTCCACAACACCGAAGCCAAGTGACACGCAACGAAGCGGATTAACGAGGCGACGAGGCTAACGAACCGCACGCAAACAATGGAATACATCCATTCGCATGCGGAATCAAGCTAACAGTTCGGTGAGTCAACGAGTCATCCAACCATAGAACGGATTCGAACTCAAACACCAAGGCGGATTTAAGCCAACTTCAGGTGGCTCGGCCCAAGCCGAGCCACCTCAAGGTGGCTCGGCCCAGAGCCGAGCCACCCTGAGGTGGCCGGCCCAGATCTGTGCCTAGGCACAGATCTGAGTGCCTATAAATAGGCTAGGCCTTGGTTCATTTTGAGGGTTGGAAATTTTGGAGAGAGGCGAAGCCCTGCTGGATTGGAGACTCGGAACTTAAAAAAGATTGAAACTTTGGGACTTCGGGGACTCACTCCTTCAGATCTGGTGCTTGGCGATCATCAACGTCAAATAAGGCAGGTGTTCGAGAGGATCAGATCTCAGATCTACGCAGGCATACTCCGGATCTAAGCTTGGTCTTAGATCCCGAGACTTGGACGATTGTTTCCTTGGTGAAACAATCCTCCCCGGCTATTATTTCCTTGGCGAAATAATACCCGTCGTACTGCGTAGATCCGACCGGATCTAGATCTCGCGGTGGTCCACGGCAAATAACCCCGGCGCAGGCAAAGAACCCACAAAGCGAGCGACCGCAAAACAGGAGCTCGCGATTCGTTCGACATAAAGGAGAAAAGTTGTAATTTTTCATTTCTTTTTATTTGATTTTCGTTGTAACCGGATCTTATAAAAAGACCGGATCTTTTGTAACTCAAAAAGTTGTAACTCAAGATGACAATGGAATCAATAACAAAGAAAGACACGAATTTCCCCGCGAACAATTTCAACTAAGTCAAGTTCCAGAGCAAGACCTAGAGAGAAAGGGCAACCGGAATTTGAGAGAGTGACCTCCAAGAAGAGCACACATGTTGTAGTTGTATGGGATTATGGGAACCAATAGGAAAAGCTTGTTCGGCCTGTGCAACTTAGGTCCTCAACTTAGCAACAATTTTGGTTCTCGAAGTTTCCGGGAAATTTGAAATTGAACAGAACAGTTTCAACTTAGTTGACGTACACAACAGATTGAGACATCTTTTGCCTTATTTTTCGTCTGGCTAAATACCCATATTGGTATTTTAATTCAACCCCATTTCCCAACAAGGTATTTTAATTAGGAAATTCGGCGATAAGACATTTTAATTGAATAAAATTACCATTTAGGTCATTTTTCTCGTCGGCGGCCACTTTTCCGGCGAAAACTCATCACGTGCGTTGCACGTGGGGGATTAATCTGTGTTTAAGATGCTGATTTAGGTCTGTTTTCTGACGTGGCAGGGAATTAACTCTCTCTCTCTCTCTTCTCTCTCTCTCTTTCTCATCTTCTTCCCCTCATTCTCAGGTTCGCTCTCCGTCTTCCTCTTCCTCACGATCCTCCTGATAACTTCTCTCAACGTAAGACTCCTCATCCCCTTCGCCCGCAAGTTCACGCACAACGTTCAAGGCATGACCAGCCTCCAGCGCGTCGTCATTGGGCTCGTGTTCGGAATGCTGGCAATGGCTACGTCCGCTGTCGTTGAGAACAAGAGGAGGCGGTTTTAGGTCGAGCGCGGCGTAAAGATCAGCTGTTTCTGGCTTGTTCCTCAGTACTTCCTGGTGGGCACCGGCGAGGCCTTTGCTTACGTTGGGCAGCTGGAGTTTTTCATCAGAGAGGCTCCCGCTCGATAGCACTACCCAGGCCTCCACCGACCACATCAACCACCCTCCGACGTCCTCCCTCCCATCTTCGTCGACCCCAACCAGCGCCTCCATCTCCTCACCGCCGTCAGCCTCCTTCACCGCCTCAGCTCGAACCCCGTTATGGAGGCGGTCGTGCTGGCTTGCCGGCGACGGTCGGAGAGGGTTCTTTGTGGATCTGAGAATGAGGGGAAGAAGATGAGAAAGAGAGAGAGAGAAGAGAGAGAGAGAGAGAGAGTTAATTCCCTGTCACGTCAGAAAACAGAGCTAAATCAGCATCTTAAACACAGATTAAGCCCCCACGTGCAACGCACGTGATGAGTTTCGCCGGAAAAGTGGCCGCCGACGAGAAAAAGGACCTAAATGGTAATTTTATTCAATTAAAATGTCTTATCGCCGAATTTCCTAATTAAAATACATTGTTGGGAAATGGGGTTGAATTAAAATACCAATATGGGTATTTAGCCTTTTTCGTCTCATTGGACTCAAAATGATTGATCTTAATTGAGTCTAAAGTTCAAATATGTGCAACTATACATACACCAATTCTTATAATATGAATTAAATTGCATCTTATATTTCCGCTTGCAACTGCATATTTGAACTGAATGGACATAAGTATTATAAGTTGCCTTAAATACTCGAATCCACATTGTTTTGAAAGTTGATGATTGATTCATTTATTAGGGTTCTATATGCAACATAACACGGACTCTTGTTGGGCTTGGAGGTGTGCACGTGGTGAACAGAAGTTGTAATTGATTAAGGTATCAAAGTTCCATTTCAATTAGAATTCAAGATGCTACCATTTTTGAACTTACTAGTTGAGATGCATATGCAATGCACATGGTTGAATGTCAAGATTATTTAAATTGATAAAAATAGAATAAAAATAAAAAAATAAAGCTTTTTGTCTGATTGATCATCAACTCAATAATCTCTCTCTCAAATAAAATATTGTCATTGTTTCCTTCAACCCAGACTATAGCCACGTGATCTACTATTTGTGAGTTATATACACATTGATCTAGTAGAACATCTTTGTTTTTTAGTATCTTGAAGTCTTTAAAAGATGGTTGATCGTTCAATTCGAAAAG